GAAAAACGCGATGACGTCGTCAAAACAAGTAAGCTAGATTTCAACTAACGTATGCCGAAAAATTCTCGATGACGTCGTCAAAAACAACCCAGTCAGTCAAAATACACACTCTACAGTCATACGAAAACTCGATGACGTCATTAAAAATAGTTAAGAAAAGTTATCCTCACGATCAAAGTGATCCTCATTTCGTGAGGATAACCTTTCTTTCATCCTCTAGTTTTACATTGGCATAGCGGGGGTATTTACATCCCCCACCCCCTCAAGTAACGCTATGCCATCAGATATCCTGACGGCATCGCTGACTTTAAACCTCAATGGTTTTTGAGAATTCTTATTTCTTGGCTTTTAAACGTCTAGATTTTAGATTTACTTTAAATATAGAAGGATGGTTGGGGTTGCATAGAACTCTCCTGTCCTATTAATCAATTATTTCAATCCAACCAAATTCAGTATGAAGCATCAGTAAGGGATTGCAATCAGTTCTTCAATAAATGAGGTTGGTTCGACCCCTGAGGCCAGGGGGGCGGGGCCCTGAAGGGGAATTTAGCTAAATTGGCTTTAAAACGCATCTCCTCCTTAACGCCTGCAATGATTTCAACCAAATTTAGTCTGAAGAATCAGTAGCGAAGGGAAATCATTTCTTAAATAAAATGAGGTTGGTTCGCCCCCTGAGGCCAGGGGGGCGGGGACCTGAAGGGAAACTTAACTAAATTTGCTTTAGAACGCCTCTCCTGCTGAATGCCATAGAGGATTTCAACCAAATTTAGTCTGAAGCATCAGTAGCGAAGGGCAATCATTTCTTAAATAAAATGAGATTTGTTCGACCCCTGAAGCCAGGGGGCGGGGCCTTGAAGGGGAACTTAGCGAATTTGCTTAAAACACATTTCCTCCTTAACGCCATAGACTATTTTAACCAAATTTGCTCTGAAACTTAATTGGGGAAGGGCAATCATTTCATAAATAAATGGGGCTAGTTTGACCCCTGGGGCTGGGAAGGCCGGACTCCAAAGGGGAAAATTAAGTCTGAAGCATCAGTAGAGTAGGGTTCTCATTTCTTAAATAAATGAGTTTGGTTTGACCCCTGAGACCAGAGGGGCAGGGCCCTGAAGGGGAACTTAGCTAAATTTGCTTTAAAACGCATCTCCTCCTAAACACCAGAGAGGATTTTAACCAAATTCAGTCTGAGGGATCACTTGTGGAGGGCAATCATTTCCTAAATAAATGAGGCTGTTTCGACCTCTTGGGCTCAGAAGGCCGGGTCCCAAAGAAGAAAATTATCTAATATTTCGCTTTAAGAAGCTAGTGCCCCCTAATTGCCTGAGTGGATTGTACAAAATTTGGTCAAAAACTTTATTGAGAAAGAACAAACATTTCTTAATTGAATGAGGTTGATTTGACCCCTCTGCGGTCCTAAGAAATGGTACAGCTAGATTATGGTGTAGTTTTCATAAATTGTTAAAAATTGGTTTCTAGGTTTATAAAAGCTTATAGTTGAATGAAAATTAAAGTATTGTCCTATTACAACCTGTAATATGACATATTACTTATTTTAAATTTGTTAACATGGCAACTTAATGGAGACCCCTGATTAGTTAAAAGTCAGATATTGTGGTCCCTGTGTGGTTAGAGCATAGATCTTGTCTGGTTTTGAGGACATTTCATATAAAGATGTACTAATGCATTCAGTTGTAATGACTTATACACAGAACAAGATGAGCGATACAGGTCCAATGGACCTTTTGTTCTCTAGGTACACTCTAGATTCCCTCCACCACCAAAACCTGGCTCCTCCACAGCTGTTAATAGAATGTAAAGCACAAACAAAACAAATCAAACCTCCTCTATCTGTCTGTATTTCCAGTTTTGTCGGGGAGAATTGATCACTAACAAGGCACAGAAAAATCTCAAAATGAGCCAAAAAGGGTTACAACAACACAAGGTGATTGAAAGTCTGTCTATTGCACACACTAACTTTGAATTGCACAAGGTTGTTTTGGATAATGGGTTTTTTAAGAACAATCAGTGACCAGGTTATTGTAAATAAATCATATCATCAACACTAGGATCAGAGTCGCATCTGCAGTATCGGGGAGCGAGGCGACACCAAAAGAAAAAGGAACCACGGGAACATAAAAATCATTTTCCTTTGTAGGATGTATTACAGCACATTTAAACACAAGACTGGTCGTAACGGGATTAGTTATGGGCTATGTCAAGTTAGAATGAGTAGCATTGTTTAATTTCATAAGCCTTCCTACACATTTTAGGTTAGAACTTTTGAACATTATTTCAGTATTAGATGACAATGTATAAAATTGACAAACAGATCCACTAAAACATCTGCAGAGATACATGACGATTGTTATACAATAATGAACTGTCCAGCAGGTGACCCCTGATAAAGGTATCACAGTTAATACGCTCCCATTGATAGACAAGTTCAGTGCTTGTGACCTCATACAAAGCCTGGTTAGCTTACAGATACACTGACTCAAATTTAGTATCCAAGATATTTTAAAATAAATTGTTTGTGTTGAAATTCATAACTCATTTGGTATTTGTACAGATTATTATTCATTTGTATGCATGTATTTTAAATTTCATTTACAAAAAAAAAAAATCAATTAAAACAAAATGCTCAAGTAGACAAGGCGATTAAATTAACAAAAGTGGGATTTGTAAGTGTATTCACATTTGTATTGTAGACCTGTGTAAGTACAGAGGAACTTGTATCTTCAATGCAAAAAGATGATGTTAGAAAATATAAAAAAATTTTTTTAAAGGATATACATTTGTTTCCGGAATTTCAGTCATATTGCATCAAACAGATAAATACTTTGGTATTTTTTGTAAAGCACAGGTAAAAAATATTCACCCCATGAAATAAAACCTGTACATATATTTATCAAAAATGATTTTTTTTTTATTACACATGTAATTTAGACTTACCTATCATTTCTGACAGAACTGATCACAAATAGTAGTGTGCTAGTTACCATCAAACACCCCTAGGATTTGTTCATTTTGTTGTTTATCACAGATAATATGGCTCTCTCACTAATGGTAACTTATACAGGTTGCTGAGAAAAAATAGGTTAGGGCATATTTCTAATATAACTATGCTGTAGTAAAGATTTAACTGCGTCATAGTAATGACTCAATCTTAGTATTTCATAATAATCCATAGTTATGCCGTAATAATGCCACAGTGATAGCAAGTTCATTTTATGACAGCAAAATCAAAATTACAACTACGTCATGTTGTAGTAATGTCATAATATCTTGAGAAAGTAAATTGTAATTAGGACATAGCTATGTTATGACAGTTATGAATTAGCTTTGTCGTTATTACGTGATAGAATAAAATGACAATGACAAAAATAAATAAATTAATGCAAAACAAAAACAACAAAAAGGGAGTAAACATCAAAACAAAAGACAACAGCAGGAATGGAGGAAACATTAAAACAAAAGGAAAGACAACAGCAGGAATGGAGGAAACATCAAAACAAGAGGAAAGACAACAGCAGGAATGGAGAAAGCATCAAAACAAAAGACAACAGCAGGAATGGAGAAAACATCAAAACAAAAGACAACAGTAGTAATTGAGGAAACATCAAAACAAAAGACAACAGCAGGAATGGAGGAAACATCGAAACAAAAGGAAAGACAACAGCAGGAATCGAGGAAACATCAAGACAAAAGAAAACAGCAGGAATGGATCCGGAGGAAACATTAAAACAAAAGACAACAGCAGGAATGGAGGAAACATCAAAACAAAAGGAAAGACAACAGCAGGAATGAAGGAAACATCAAAACAAAAGACAACAGCAGGAATGGAGGAAACATCAAAACAAAAGGAAAGACAACAGCAGGAATGGAGGAAACATCAAAACAAAAGGAAAGACAACAGCAGGAATGGAGGAAACATCAAAACAAAAGGAAAGACAACAGCAGGAATGGAGGAAACATCAAAACAAAAGGAAAGACAACAGCAGGAATGGAGGAAACATCAAAACAAAAGGAAAGACAACAGCAGGAATGGAGGAAACATCAAAACAAAAGGAAAGACAACAGCAGGAATGGAGGAAACATCAAAACAAAAGGAAAGACAACAGCAGGAATGGAGGAAACATCAAAACAAAAGGAAAGACAACAGCAGGAATGGAGGAAACATCAAAACAAAAGGAAAGACAACAGCAGGAATGGAGGAAACATCAAAACAAAAGGAAAGACAACAGCAGGAATGGAGGAAACATCAAAACAAAAGGAAAGACAACAGCAGGAATGGAGGAAACATCAAAACAAAAGGAAAGACAACAGCAGGAATGGAGGAAACATCAAAACAAAAGATAACAGCAGAAATGAAGGAAACATCAAAACAAAAGGAAAGACAACAGCAGTAATGGAGGAAACCTTTATGTTTCTAACACTAGGATAATACACAGTTTATACTTAACTCGTTCACCCCTGAAGACACATTTGAACTCTTCCAATTCAAGGGTTGGAAAAGTTCATTATAAAACTTCAGGGGTGAATGAGTTAAGCATACAAAAAGCCAGGAGTCAAAACACATTTATTTTGTTTTTATAAAAGTTACTTCCAAAAGATATGAACATCCTACAGAACTGCTTATGAACTGCTTTCCATAAGCAACCATAACTCTGTACTTAATTGGGCACCAGACCCCATTTCAGGTGACAAGATCCCAAACAAAGTGACAGACAGGGAAACACCACTAGAGCTCTCTGCTAGTAATGCTGGAGAATTAATAACTAAAAAAACAACTGTACAATTACCATCAACTTGTCAAAAGTTGCACTGGTCAAGCACGTGTAACTTACACTATTTATCAACACTGTTTTGACATTGGTGTCCAGTAATCTAAGGTTAACTAGATGAGGCTAAGGTAGCAGTCATCACCTGGTCTTTGATAAGATAAGTAGGATCATAAAACCCCAACATGACCGAGTCCTCTGCAGTCAGTGGACAGAACAGCAGCTATCATGGTAAGTATACACAATCCTTTACATTCCTGTCCTTAGCTGGACAGAATTTCTGAAGAAAAAAAAGTTCTATTGGGATAATTTTAGGATATTAAATGTCATTGGAATCAATATTTACAGGTAGTTGGTTATATAAAACACTATATTCTTAAAACGTTATATATTTTCAAATAAACGGTGTACAATTGAGCACCATTAATCCAGCTTACACAAATCTGGCTACCAGCGTTTGTGTCTGGAGATTTCACTTTGCCCCAGTAGTCCAGCTACTGTTGTAGTGTATAAGGGTGGCTGATTTCCCTTCAAGTATATATACTGATAATTTGCCGGGAATATGGGTGGCTGATTTCCCTTCAAGTTATATATACTGATAATTTGCCGGGAATATGGTTGGCTGATTTCCCTTCAAGTTATATAAACTGATTATTTGCCGGGAGTATGCTGATTATGATCTTTATAATAAAAAAACAACCTTGGACGCTTGGAAGATTGTTAACTGGCAGGTACCTGTCTTTTAATCAAAACAGTTATCAGCTTTAACTATTTTAAGTCATTCTTTTTGTGTATAAATATCCGGCTATCTGCAGATTCAAGGTTTTATTCTGTGTCTTACGCTTAGGGGACATTGAACTTGTGATCTCTATCTTTTCTTTCCTACTCTATCAACCCCTTCATTTCTGCTGTGTATCCCCAATCACCCGTTTCTGTATGATCTTTCGCCTGTGTTTCTGTTGTCGTCTTAAACTGTCTTTCAAGTGTCTCCACAAAGTCGGTTCCAGTTCATGTGTTGTGTTGGTGTCTCTGTTGTTTGTTTTGTTGTCTTCCTTTTGTTGTGTCCCATCAGTTCCTTAAGTCATTTCTAACATTTGTTTTGGTGTCCCTCAGTTCCTTAAGTCATCTCTAACATTTGTTTTGGTGTCCCTCAGTTCCTTAAGTCATTTCTAACATTTGTTTTGGTGTCCCTCAGTTCCTTAAGTCATTTCTAACATTTGTTTTGGTGTCCCTCAGTTCCTTAAGTCATTTCTAACATTTGTTTTGGTGTCCCTCAGTTCCTTAAGTCATTTCTAACATTTGTTTTGGTGTCCCTCAGTTCCTTAAGTCATTTCTAACATTTGTTTTGGTGTCCCTCAGTTCCTTAAGTCATTTCTAACATTTGTTTTGGTGTCCCTCAGTTCCTTAAGTCATTTCTAACATTTGTTTTGGTGTCCCTCAGTTCCTTAAGTCATTTCTAACATTTGTTTTGGTGTCCCTCAGTTCCTTAAGTCATTTCTAACATTTGTTTTGGTGTCCCTCAGTTCCTTAAGTCATTTCTAACATTTGTTTTGGTGTCCCTCAGTTCCTTAAGTCATTTCTAACATTTGTTTTGGTGTCCCTCAGTTCCTTAAGTCATTTCTAACATTTGTTTTGGTGTCCCTCAGTTCCTTAAGTCATTTCTAACATTTGTTTTGGTGTCCCTCAGTTCCTTAAGTCATTTCTAACATTTGTTTTGGTGTCCCTCAGTTCCTTAAGTCATTTCTAACATTTGTTTTGGTGTCCCTCAGTTCCTTAAGTCATTTCTAACATTTGTTTTGGTGTCCCTCAGTTCCTTAAGTCATTTCTAACATTTGTTTTGGTGTCCCTCAGTTCCTTAAGTCATTTCTAACATTTGTTTTGGTGTCCCTCAGTTCCTTAAGTCATTTCTAACATTTGTTTTGGTGTCCCTCAGTTCCTTAAGTCATTTCTAACATTTGTTTTGGTGTCCCTCAGTTCCTTAAGTCATTTCTAACATTTGTTTTGGTGTCCCTCAGTTCCTTAAGTCATTTCTAACATTTGTTTTGGTGTCCCTCAGTTCCTTAAGTCATTTCTAACATTTGTTTTGGTGTCCCTCAGTTCCTTAAGTCATTTCTAACATTTGTTTTGGTGTCCCTCAGTTCCTTAAGTCATTTTTAACATTTGTTTTGGTGTCCCTCAGTTCCTTAAGTCATTTCTAACATTTGTTTTGGTGTCCCTCAGTTCCTTAAGTCATTTCTAACATTTGTTTTGGTGTCCCTCAGTTCCTTAAGTCATTTCTAACATTTGTTTTGGTGTCCATAGTTATGTTGTCTTTCCTTTGTGTTTGTTTCCCCTAGGTCCTTCTTATACTTTTCCCTGTTATTTTGGTGTCTCCTAGGTTCCTGTTGTTCTGGCATCTCCTTTGGTCCCTGTTGGTTGGTGTATTCTAGGTTCCTGGTGTTTTGGTTTCTTCTTAGTCAATCTTGTGTTGGTATCTCCTAGGTCCCTGTTGATTTGGTGTCTCTTTGGTCCCTCTTGTTTTGGTGTATCCTACGTCCCTGTTGTTTGGCGTCTTCTATGTCCCTGTTGTTTTGGTGTCTCCTTTCGTTTTTGTGTCTCTTTAGCCCCTCTTGTGTTGATGTCTCCTTGGTTGTCTTTCACTGTCATTTTACTGTCTTTTCCAATCCTTTTGTCTTTTTTTGTTTGTTTAGATGTCCCCTTAGTTACTGATGTTGTCTTTCCATTTGTTCTTTGAGTGTCTCCTAATTCCTGTTGTCCTCTTTCACTGTTGCATTGTTTTCTCCTCATTCATTATGTGTTGATATTGATTCTGATTTTGTCGTTGTATGTTGACACTCTGGTATGGATTTTTCATTCTAATCTACACACACGTTATTAAAAAAGAAAAAATAGTTTTTTTTCACAAAAATAAATTATTTCCATATTAATTTTTACCGTGCTTAGATAATAACTGTTATTATAATATCTGTTAAATCAATATTGGACAAGTCTAGCTAATTTTAAAATTCTTTCATTCATATTGAGACGTTTGGAACAAATAGAAATAAATTACTCAAAGTGTGTTTAACTTTCAACTTCAGATTGGGATACTACTAGCACTAGCGTGCTTGGTATACCAAGCTGATTGTGGTACCCAAGCACCCACCACACCCACCACTACCATGAATCCTATGGACGTCCAGATGGGAGACATAAGGCAGACAGTGGAAGGTTTGTCCCGTCAAATGGTGATGCAACAACTCGGTGTGGAGGAGCGTATCAGATCAGACGGAGACTCGGGCATCAAGCAGAAAATTGTTAAAAATAGAGGAACACGCCCTTATCTCAATGATATAGTATCTTCCCCAAACCTGGCAGATTTTTCAGAGTTTTGGACTCGAGAACGTGTTTTAGGCATTGGCACAAATGTCTTTGTTATGAATGGTGTCGAATTCAGATTACAACGTCAGAACTACAACCTAGTCATGCCCAGCAGGACCAGTAAGGACTGGCACAAGACTGAGGACATCCCCTACCCAGAGGTACCTCACTCCGTCCTGGCCAAGCACAACGTCACCGAACAGATCGACGAGATGAGGGAGTACTTCAGAGCTTTCAAGAACCAAGACACCAAAATTCGGAGTGACTATGCCCGCTACTTCAAACCGGTTCTTTGTTATTTAGAAGGAGCCTGGCTGGATGGTGCTGCTCATAGCCAGGGCAGATGGATGAATGAAGCAATGTATATTGAATATACAGCCAACGATGGACTAGAGGATGGCCATTCGTATAATCCTACTAAGATCATGAAGGTGATCAATGGTACTGCCGTCTATGCACACTGGGCATCCAGGATTTTATGTCATCCAATCAAACAGGAGCTGCCGCTCGCCTCATTTTATGTCAAAGATGATCTGGCAGCCCGACTATCCGCTTCCCAGAGTCTGTATGACTTCTCGAGATCCAGGGCTGCACGGTTTGCCCTATCCGAGTATGGTAAACCTTCAAGGAAATTTTACCCTGAAGTTGGTTATGGTAAAATGGACCCCACCTTTAACTCATATACAACATTAGATTCCATAATGGAAGAAATTCCTGGGACCGATAACTACCCCGTTCACATAACTGGAGGATCTTTTGGTCTGACCGCTTTCAATGCTCACTTCCCCCGAAATAACACTGAGCTCAATCTCGGCCACTACCATCACTGGTACCGCGTGCTACAGAAGGGGGCCATGGGAACTACAGTCATCAACCGTGGGTACGCTGACAGAAGTCTCTGGGTGGCAGCATCTGAACAAGACCATCTCGCTCCCATGACGTACAACTCGTGCCATTATGATCGAAAAACTCATAAACAAAACTGTACGGAATACGTAGCTAAATACACTTATGCTCTCCCCCTAGAAATCGTTTGGATGACTCCACTTCTCAGCTGGAATCCATACAACCTGCAACATTTTGAGGGTGATATTCATAAGAGCCCTGCTAACACAATTAGTGCACATGGACACAATGGACGCACCCCAGAGAAGGCATTTCTTGGCACTAATCATGATAATTTTTACCAAACCCCTGCCGAATTCTTTACAAGAGCAAGCGGTGGGCACTACATTGCTGACAGACAGGGACATGCTCACAAGGTTGTACCCTCCAGTTTTCAGACAATTCTACGCGAGATACCGACTGTAGGAAACATCAGACTGCGATATCCAGTGATTCCCACACACCAGGAGGGAAATGCTATTTATAAGGAACTAGACGCCCTAAAGGAGCTGGTCATGAACATGGCCGTCAACACCAATTATTTCCATAACAAACCTGATGCTGTGCACAGTATTGAGGGCAACACAAACAGGGAGGAGCACTACCGCACCTCATCAACAGCCATCACTCCTCCTGGAAACCACGCTCACGAAATACTACTCTCTGCAGACGACATTTCAGACCTGGAGGCAGGAAAGACGGTGGCAGTGTACACTAGTCTAAACAATGGCCACCAGCATGTGCTCGAAGTCTACGCGGACAAGAACATCCATTACCGTCAAGGTCACTACAAAATAGCTTTGTGTGATGGCAAACAAATGTGTTGGGACGGCCACTCCAACGTACTGTATTACGTTTATTAGTATTCCTTAACTAATAAATCATCATGTTCAATTTATAGTCTGAATGTTATTTGTACAATATATTTATTTTCAGTAGGAGGAGATTAAAAAAGACAGCTATAGATGTCTGTTTTAATTGTCTCATAGACTCAATAGTCATACCTCACTAATGGAATGCTCTCACTAAATTAATTGTGGAAAGGAAAAAAACAGATGTAGAAGGATCTTGACACCCATAATCATAAGATAGAATTCTATTCATTAGGTCTATAGAGTATACTTGATACAGTGTATGAAAAAAACATCAAGGCATCGAAACAAGCTCCAACGAGATTTCCAATGATGGAAGATACTGTGAATATTGTGACTTTAATTCATCTTTACTTCCTCTTATATGCTGGATTGATAGCTTTGTCAGCAGTAGATGCATATTATGGTAACTTTTGATAATTTGTTCATACAACTGGGTGTCATTTCAAAGTAAGGCTATAGTTTACTTCTTGAGAGAAGCTATAACAAACCTGAACTGTCAAAACAGAAGAAGGCTAACTGTCAACCATCTTATTTTATCTGATCAGTCTCCAAATAAAGCATGCAAAAATATGGACCATGGGAAACCTACATAAGAAAAATGAGAAAGATCTTAAGATGGCTCAAGTTGAACTCTCAAAACCAAAGATGGTTGCCAGATTGCCATCTTCTTTTTTTTCGATCAGAAACATACATAGCTACATTCTATGGGGAACTTACATACAAAATATGAGAAAGATCCATCAAGTTCTAATAATAACAAACTTGAACTGGTTATCCAAGATGGCGACGTATTATTTTGCCATTCAGTCCAAAAATCAACTATGCACAAATCAGCAAGTATGAGTTGCGATGTGAAGAATTGTGAAGATTCATGTAGCACGACCAATAAGTGTTTCTATGTGACGTTTCGATGACCAGTAAGATATGTACTCGGTCACCTTCATCAGACAAATGTTTGTTTAAAACTTCGTCATAGATGTGCAAGTCTATGAGCCCCCTCATCTCGATTAAGACCTGACTCACTGCCGCGTATCCAGATGATTTTGAAATCCATAAAATTACCAACAAGGAATATGACAAAAGAGTCTATAGCCATGATATTGACCTTGAACAGTTAACTTTAACCTTTAATAGAGAATGATGTCAAGAGTACCTGTGTGAAGTTTCATGAAATAAGGTTGAAAAGAGCCTGATAACAAACCAAGTATCTAGTTTCCTAATCATTATATAAAGATCCTGTATCCTTGATATTGACCTTGCATGTATACCCTCAACTTTCAAATAAGCACCAGGAATTGAGGTCGGGAATACTGTACCTATGTGAAGTTCCATAAAATTTACTGTATAGCGCTTTAATTTTGAGGGGTCATTATTTCGCGGTTATGTATTCAGTACAAGTTCAAGTTCAAGTTCAATTTGTTTATTTAAGTGTGACATATCACAATTACATTTATGTTCATTAATACATATAAAATACTTTTACAAAATATAAATCAATTCCATTGGTACATATAAAATACTTGCAGTTGGCTGTTTCCTAGAACTTAAAATAGTTCGTTTAACATTAAAAAAACACACTTGTAATAGGGATCAATATCGACATTAGATTATTGTGAGACTACCCTTCTTATTATTATTAACATGGAGGTTGCAGTGACTTAAAGTGCACTACCTTAGGGTTGGGGAGAGCCCTACCAGCGAAGACAGGTCGCTCTGCGCCACTGCAATCATACGATGTAACTTTTATTTTTTTTATTTTTTTTTATCAGTTTAAAAAAAGGAATAACAGGTTAAAAGTAATTGAGAAATCGATTGGCTCCAAGCGGTTGGGGAGAGCTCTACCGGCGAGGGCTTCTCGAGGTCCCTTTTTAAGGTTACATTTAATAGTTTAAAACACGGTTAAAAGGGCAAAATTTTAGTATTGATCAATAATTAACAAATTAAATAATATTTCAAGGTCTATGACCTATGATTATAACAGGTTAAAAGGAAATTGAGAAAACGATTAGCTTCAAGCGGTTGGGCCAGTCCCTACCAGCGAGGGCTTTTCGAAATCCCATCTCAAAGGTACATTTACAACTTTAAAACACGATAGAGAAAAATAAACTTTAAACATTGATCAATGGCTTTAATGTATTTAAGAATATTAAAGGGAGCTTAACCACTTATAAACCAAACCCCTGCATTGATCCCTGGTAAAAAAAAATGTACATATTCACAGTGGTTAAATTTTTTTGTGCACCAGAATCCCATGTGTCGTGCAAAGAATTTTGAGTGTCATCATTTAAGGGTTAAACCTCGATATACAGGTAAACCGTTTGAAAACACTGATCCTGAACGTCATCAACCGCCAGTGACTTCACTCGAAAGAAAATCAAATGTGTTTGTACCCTTGTAGGAGTAAACTGTAATACACTAATCACCTACTGTGTACACATACATATGTTGTGGCTACTTATATGTAAGTATTGTTTTTACATGGACTACCCAGTTGTCCAGTGATAATCTGATTTGCCTTCATTTAAGCTTGCATAACAGCGTTGGGTTGAAGTATTTTCAACATGTTGTGATAAGGTTCATAAAAGTGGTTAACATTTTCAATAATTTCGTTGGTGTTAAGAATTCACGGATATTAGTCAAAGCACGAATATAGCGCAATTAAAACTCGCGAAATATAACCGCTATACAAGATTTAGAAACTTTAGTAAGGAACCAGAGGACAAGTCAAGTATCAATGTTACAAACCATCATATACAGATTCTGTAGCTGTGACCATGACGGTTACGTTTGGCATTGATCTTTGACTTGGCTTTAGAGATTGATGTCAGTCAGGAAAACTTGTGTGAAGTTACCTGGAGAATTTATACTCATTCACCTTTGACTGGGCTCCAGAGATTGATGTCAGTCAGGAAAACTTGCGAGAAGTTACCTGGAGAATTTATACTCATTGAACTTTGACTGGGCTCCAGAGATTGATGTCAGTCAGGAAAACTTGCGAGAAGTTACCTGGAGAATTTATACTCATTGAACTTTGACTGGGCTCCAGAGATTGATGTCAGTCATGAAAACTTGTGTGAAGTTACCTGGAGAATTTATACTCATTCACCTTTGACTGGGCTCCAGAGATTGATGTCAGTCATGAAAACTTGTGTGAAGTTACCTGGAGAATTTATACTCATTCACCTTTGACTGGGCTCCAGAGATTGATGTCAGTCATGAAAACTTGTGTGAAGTTACCTGGAGAATTTATACTCATTGACCTTTGACTGGGCTCCAGAGATTGATCTCAGTTAGGAATACTTGTGAAAAGTTACCTGGAGAATTTATACTCATTGACCTGCAGGAGACTTTTGAACCATTTAGTTTGAAAAGAAATATGACAATCTTTCCAAATATTTTGTAAACTTTTAGGATGGGAATGAAAATCTAATATACCAGTTACTTGAGCAATTTTCACAATTTTTGTGTCATATTAAGCATAATTGCCTTATTATTGTTGACATATTTTTCCTTTATTTGTTGTTGAAAAAAGGGGTATATTACCACTAATCATAGATAGAGGACTTGTTTTCCTGGGATGATAAATTAATCAAATTAAAGCTATCAATCTTCTTTGAATTCAGAAAGAATCTTCAGAATGACATATTTTGCTGCATTAATTGGCTTGGCAAGTTATTGAATTTAATTGTTAGGTCACCTGAGCTTTGCTCAAGTGACCGTTTCCGATTCACTTTCCGTCCGTCGTTTTCCGTCGTCGTCCGTCGTGCATAAACTTTTTACATTTTTAACTTCTTCTCAAGAACCAGTGGATGGAATTTTTTCAAACTTGGTCAGAATCATCCTTGGTAGATGAGGCTACAAAATTGTAAAATTGGGATTCCTATCCTAACCCCTAGCTGGGGCCAGGGTGGGGCCCCAAAGGGAAAATTAACCAATGTTTTAAAAACAATCTTCTCCAGACTCAGAGTTACTACAGTCATTTTCTCTGCATGGATGGAAAGATCATCAGGGGCTTTATTTCATTGTAAATTTCAGGACCCCCACGCTATCAGTTCTCCTTGGGACAGGGTAAAGTTTACTAAAGTTTATATAGGGAAACAACACTTTTGGGTATATTTTGACAACTCTCTGCAGGAAATTATTCTTACTTGGTGAGAATTATCCTTGGAGGAGGAAGATGGTTTTAAATTGTAAAATTGGGATTCCTACCCCAACCCTAGGGGCCAGGGCGGGGCCTCAAAGGGAAAATTAACAAATATTTCAAAAATATCTTCTCCAGACTCAGGGGTACTACAGTCATTTTCTCTGCATGGATGGAAAGATCATCAGAGGCTTTATTTAAATTGTACATGTCAGGACCCCCAAGCTATCCGTTTTCCCTTGGGGAGGGGGTAAAGTTTACTATAGTTTATATAGGGAAATAACACTTTTGGGTATATTTTATCCATTTTCAGCAGAAAATTATTCAAACTTGGTTAGAATCATCTTTGGTAGATGAGGGTACATTGTAAAATTGGAATTCCTACCCTATTCCCAGGGGCTAGGGCGGGGCCCCAAAGGGAACATTTACCAATATTTTAAAATTCTTATCCTTTGATGACATGACAAGTATTGTATTTCACTTAGCTTAGATGTGAGGTGGAAATCAGCTTGTAAACAATAAAATAAAGCTACCAGTACCTATGACATAACTCAGGTGACGGCTAAGGCCCTTGGGCCTCTTGTTCTATAACTAATTTTGTACAAATAAACCTTCAACTTTGATTAGTGCCACCTGTATGTATCATACAGGTTTTACTTTAATCTATCCTTTTCCAGACCATGCATTTTATGTACAGTCCTGGTCCTGGCCCCAATAATAACCAGCATATGGTAACACAATTACTTCAACAGATGAGCGATAACTTTGGAAATCATTTTTATTATCAGCAGTATTTTATTTATAAATGTTTAAATAGATGAATCACAGGAACAATATACAAAACAAGAGTACCGCGGGGCAGAACAATATACGCCTGTTGAATACCATAAAGTGTTATATACTTTCTTACATTGAAATAAGATCTGCATCATTCTAAGAGTTGTTAGCTGACATGCTATAAAAAATGTAGAAGAAAATCTCCAGGCAAAAAATCAAATACTGAAATGAACAAAGGGCAATAACTTTTGCAGAAATTGTTGAATCAAAATTCTTTTAAGGGAGACACAACTTCATATGATTATGATGTATACCAAGTTTCAAAGCGATCCGTTGAAAAATGTAGGAGGAGATTGCCAGACAAAAATCAAATACTGAAATAATCAAAGGGCAATAACTTTTGCAAAACTTGTTGAATCAAAATTATTTTCAATCAAACACAACTCCATATCATGATTATTTAGCCTACTAAGTTTCAAAGAAATCCGTCAAAAAACTGTAGGAGGAGATCTCCGGACAAAAAACTTGAATACTGAAATGAACAAAGGGCAATTACTTTTGGAAAAATTGTCGAATCAAAATTCTTTTACAGGAGACACAACTTCATATCATGATTATAATGTATACCAAGTTTCAAAGAGATCCGTCGAAAAATGTAGGAGGAGATTGCCGGACAAACAAAAGTTTGCACCGGACAGAGGGACGGACAACCCCATACCATAATACTTCCGTCAAATTTGACGAGCGTATAAAAATGAATTAACCGACACAAGAAGAACTTACATTTTTCATTAATATTTGCACAAATTAGCACATAAAATGTGTCCTTAGAGTCGGTACAGTTAAACAGTTTAGTTCAAAATGTAACATCTTGTTTCTTTACATATACACTTAAATTATATCAATCAAAGTAAAGAATGAAAGCCTGTTCGTAGTTAACTCTGACACTCCAAGACTGGTCAGTCTTATGATAAAATCAACATTTATTAATTTTACAACAATTATGAAACAAGTTATTCAACTTATATTAATCACTCTTGTTGGCCCAGATGTTAGAGCGCAGGGGGCGGGGGGTCTTTGTGTGGGAGGAAACTGGAGTACCTGGAGAAAACCTACATCATCAGGCAGGTGACCCCATATCTTTTTACATCCGATCAGGGAATCGAACCCCGGTCGCCTTGGTGAAAGACAAGTGCACTATCCACTGCACCACCCGACCACCCTGTCCTCAGACTGATAGCATTCCCTCTATTACTCTATTAATTTAGGATGATGGTCCACTACACATATGTTACCAGATCATCACCATCTCCAGTTGACTCATTTCAATTTTAAAGGATCATTTGTCCAATCATTTTGAGAACATTTATGCCTATTTTTAAGAAATTGAACTGTATAAAGTTGTTATAAAGTGGCAGTGTTAACAATTACATACTAATATGTAACAAGCACTTTTCACGACTGGCAACCCCTTCGGAAAACATACTGTTCAAGGAGGACCACAAAGAGATTGCTGATAAAACAACAAACCTTATACACATACTCAGTGAGCAGGAACCAGCTGGAATAACACCGGCCTCAGAATCTGATATCAAGAAAGCCATCTCCAAACTAAATAACAACAAAGCAGCCGACAGCATGGCAATGACTAGCGAACACTTCAAAATGTCTGTAGATACCATAATTCCCTACCTTAAAACTCTTATCAACAGTATGCTAGAGAAAAAGAAAGTACCAGCAAAGCTGAAATCTGGACTACTTACTCCAATCTACAAATAGGGTGATCAGAAAAACCCCTCCAACTACCGTGGGATCACCGTTACCACAGTCATACTTAATAACGTGGAACATATTCTCAACGCCAGACATAACGTTATCCTGATCCAAATATAATCCAAACTACAGACCGGTTTCACCAAAGGTACATCATCTATCAACTCAGCTCTCATGTAACAAAATGCCTTAAGGAAGCCCGTCTACAAAGAAAGCCTCTTCTATTAACAACACTCGATGCACGGAAGGCATTCGACGTCGTGGATCACAATATCCTATTAAACAAGCTCTATGACGACAGAATCACTGGCGCTGACTGGCTGATGATTCAGGATCTCTACAAGGATGTCACATCAGGCGTCAAGTGGGAGGGACAGACTTCAGACCCCTTTAACTGTTCAACAAGGAGTCCGTCAAGGGGGAGTACTCTCCACATCTCATTACAAACATTTTAACAATCCCCTACTGAAGGATCTGGAAGAAAAATGCTTTGGAAAACCTATGTCGTCCCAAGGCTCACATATGGAATGAAAATACTCAACTACACAAAAACGCAAATGAAAGACCTGGAACGATTCCAGACCAAATCACTAAGACAGGTACAACATCTTCCGGACAGGACAGCAACATCTATATCCCTGGCATTACTTGGAATTCCTCCACTAAGCTGTATCATTGACAGAAACACACTGAACCTGTTCTACAGAATCATTACCAACCCTGACTCCATAGAGTACTCTATAGCATACCGTCAACTAGCAGTGAGATCGAGAGACGAGGATAGCTGGTTCTCTCATGTGAGGGACCTCCTGGAACAGTACAATCTTCAAATGGCATTTACTCTCCTCGAAGATCCTCCACTCAAAAGTCAATGGAAAGAGATGCTAGACAGGGGGATATCTACGCATATTCAAGACAGCCGGAAAGATGATTTCGCCACCAAATCGTCACTCAAATACATTAACCCTGATTCCGTTACCTTGAAAGAACCTCACCATGTCTACTCCACAGTGCGAAATAACAAACACGATGTCCAACGAGCCGAATGCAAGACAAGACTCCTCACGGGCACATATACCTTACAAGCAAATAAAGCAGCCTTCAACCAATACAACGTCAACCTGGAATGCAGACTATGTCATACAGGGCCAGAGGACCGACAACACTTCATTGCCGTTTGTACAGCATACAATAGAATAAGGGAACATGCTTATCTTCGACTACAAAGTATTCCAGCAATCCAGCAATATACAGTACTGACTTCAAATCCTACAAAATTCACTCATCTGATACTAGATTGCACACACCCAGAGATCAGCGATATCCATGTCTTTAACAAAGATGAGATCAACAAAATCGAACTTCACAGTAGAGAATACTTGCAAGAAATCCATCTACGACGAGTTAAGCTTCTTGCAGAACTAGATACAGAGGAGAATGGCAGACCCTCCAACTAATGATATTTTTTATATAAACTTTATTATGTTTTGTGGAAGAGAATAGAACTCTTTAGTTTTTAATCCCTGTGTACATACGCCCTGACTGTGTACATATATGTACAGATTTTATTGCTGATCCGATATTCTAAGCTTCTAGGAAGTACCGGTGCCCCGACAAGACAGTGAGGAAGGAAAACATACCCATTGGGTGATAATTGTGTAGGTAACACCGCCATACAGTCTTTCTTCTCTAATAAAGCTTTGAGTATCTTTTTCTGTTTGGGTTTCAGACGATCAATCTCAAATAACTTCAGAACTTTCGCATAATTCTCATCAATGTCCGACATATTTGCTACAACTCCGAGCGCCCTTTTGAAAGAGGGTCTCTGATTTGTCAAAATTTAATGAGTATTTATAAATATAAAGGTCACCTGAACGTGACGCTGACCGCGGCACACTCAGATGTTCAGGCGTAGTACGAAGTTAACGAAGCCATGTAACATATGACTTTAATCAGATTGTATATAAAAGTTCGCAGGTCATGCCTCTCCAATAAAATTTCATGCAGGTGCAAAGTAAATTGTTAGGTAAAACCATAGGTGCTTGAATTGATAGTCCTCTCCTCCTGGAAAGAAATTGTAACTTTGGAGCTTCACTTCAGTCCAGATTCAGCACAGAGCTTCACTTCAACCCAGATTCAGCACAGAGTTTCACTTCAGCCCAGATTCAGCACGAAGCTTCACTTCAGCCCAGATTCAGCATGGAGCTTCACTTCACTCCAGATTCAAAACGGAGCTTCATTTCAGCCTAGATTCAGCACAGAGCTTCACTTCAGCCCAGATTCAGCACAGAGCTTCACTTCAGCCCAGATTCAGCACAGAGCTTCATTTCAGTCCAGATTCAGCACGGAGCTTCACTTCAGTCAAGATTCAGCACGGAGCTTCACTTCAGCCCAGATTCAGCATGGAGCTTCACTTCAGTCCAGATTCAGCACGTACTGAAAGTTCAGTCACGCTTAAGTATGCTTTTTCATATTTACACAGCATTCTTTTTATAGAAAGGAGCCAATCAGGGGACTGAAATGTTGGTTGGCAAAATCCATCTTATGCATGTTGACATTTTATGTGTGCAGCTGTAAAAATACCCTAGTAGCAGAGCCGAAACCATTGCGTTCACAGACAATGGACAGAAAAGAGTAATCAAGCATACCCGCCTAAGCTTATTGTACAAGTTGATTGGCCAGTGGCATTATAATCTATGTACCGTGACAATTAAAACTCATGAAGATTTTATTTGGGATAGACACTAAACAGCAAATCATGTATTATATAACATTATTTCTATAGTTGTTCTTTAAAAAAATTATTTGCAAGTACCGGTACATGTATTAAAGGAACAATATCAGGTAGGTTATACATAACACTGGTTTAAATGTGATTTAATAAATGTATGACATATAAATAACATTAGCAACTCTCCATGTGTAATCATAAAAACATACATTTAAAACATCTCATGAAATGCAAGGGATCTGCAGTATATATTCTAAAGGGATACAATAGAATTTAGGTCCTTGTAAATCTCATGTAAAATATAAATACATAAAAAGATGTAAACATAAATATTTATATACTAACTTGTGAATAACACAACTATAAAAAATTAAAAGTATACATGATAGCACCTTTATGAGCTGGCTTTGTCAAATCATGGTAGCACTCATGAGGTAGCAACGTCTTGTTCTTGGCTGAAGTCGCTTTTGGTCTAGTTTTGTCATGGACACGCTTGTCCTTACATAGACATCATGGGTTATTTGGGGGTAAGGATTCTTATATATATCGTAGATTCCATACACTCGAATAATATTTTATATAACAGATATGGGAGAATGTTACTAGTGTCACTCTCACATGCTAGCACAATATGTGTGGTCATATCTAGTTCCTAACCAGTCGTCGCCACATTTGGTCATTATGAGCTAACTCGTATGTACATCCGGTTCCTTGCTGAAATCAACAACACTATATTTCTTTTAAAATTCTTGTACATTTGAGCTAGCAATATCGGGTTCAAGGCTAGAGTTGGCAACATCTATTGTTTAACTTTACTACACTTGGCAACATTGGGCTCTCGCCTAAGATTTACCATCATCTTTCTGACATTCTGATAGTTGGGAGGTAGCAACATGAGATTCTTGACTAGAGTCAGCCACTTCTGTTGTCTGAGAATCTGACACTAAAGTGAACTTGCACCAGCACCTGGTTCCTCGCTTGATTCAACAACAGTTTGGTCCTGACCCTCACTGACCATTGACTTCAACTGGTCAAGGTCCCCTGTGTCTGGTGGTGGACCTGGAGACTCCGGTTGGTCCCCCTTATCAATGTCGGCCAATGTGATGACTCCATCAGTATGAGTTAACAAGTACAGGGCTTTTCCAGCATTTAACAGCCGATCTCGGTACTCCAAATGCTGAAATAGTTAAGAACAAAATACAGATCAATGTCACATGTACAGTTAAAAATACATATTAGTATCACAGGCTTGTTCATATTAGTATCACATTCTGGTCAGTCCTTATAATTTTTTCTTAAAAGACACATAAACACTTCTGCACTTTTTATGATTAATTATTAATTAATCACATTAAATGAAGACAATAAAAGTAGTTCTCAAATTTGACATCATCACTTTTGGTGTTGAGTTGTTTTAATTTTTAGATTTTTTCAGATCCAATCTCTCAGCTTACTGTTAAGGTATTTAACACAATAAACAAGAGAGAACACAAGCGAACCCTGGTTTTACTGATCGTAACTACATCACGACTACATTCCTACCTGTAAAATGTTCACTTAATTATGGTCTATTTTGTGCGAACCATGGTACAGTAACAATGACAGAACACATGATGAAATAATGTCTTTATAAAAACACTTAGAATTTTACTTTTTGAAATCTACAAAATAATGTCTCCAGCCAACACTCTAGTTAAACCACAAAAATTGGAACTCATGAAAAAATAAAGACCTCTACAGTAATGTGAAGTTATAAATCTCACAAAATTAAAGTCACTGACAGAATAATGTTTATAACGTTACATACTCTGAAGAGGTTTTCTGGAACACCAGTAAATCCGTTCATTGCTCCATAGCATGCGGCCGCTATCACGCCTGTGCTGTCACTATCCCCGCTGTGAAACATGGACCTGTCAACACAGGGAACAATTTCTTATTTAAATACTTTTATGCTTCTCCTAAGAAAAATAAGCAAGCTAAAAGAAATGGAAGTTTTTCTTTATTATGATTCAGCAAGTCAGTTTGAATATATTTTTCAAATACAATATGTACCTATACAGTTGGTGAAATACTGCGAATCCATTGACATCATCAGCCGGGTCCATCAGTCTCTAGACGTTTCAACCCTTGTCCCGGAACGTCCTCGTGATGGTGGGTCGACAGTGGCGATCAACTCACTGCCCGTCAATGGATGGCTTCCAGTCTTTCTCCTCCCGTCTGTTCCACAACCAGCATGATGCGCGCTCGGCAGCCTCTGCTAGCCTGCGCACCGCCGTCTTGCGTGTCTTTCCAACTAATCCCACAGCCTGCAATGTCTTCCAGGCTGAGCGTGCCGGGAACCCTCTGCATCCGACCTCCACAGGAAACAGCCAAGTACGCCACCCTCGGTCCCTACATTGTTCCATGAGCTCCGTATACTTGGCTCTCTTCCTCTCATTGGCCTGGTCGCACCACTCCTCACAGGGCACAGTCAGCTGGATGACTATAATCTGCCTGGATTCGCAGACCATATCACCACATCCGGACGTAGCGTTGTCTGTACGACGTCCGGATACACCAATTTCTTCCCCAGGTCAACTCTCATCTCCCATGTCTCTGCCCCTTCCAGAATGCCAGTGTTGCCTGATGTTGCTTTCGTCTCCTTCTCCCCTGCTTTTACAAACCGGATGAAGGATGGTTTGTGCTTACGAGGTGGTCTCTTCTTCTTCCTTTCCACCTCGAGAACATCTGCCAATTCCCGAAGCACCTGGTCATGTCTCCACCGGTATCGTCCCTGTGTTAGCGCTGTCTTGCATGCCGAAAGGATATGGCCCATGGTCCCACGTTCTTGACATAGCTGACACTTTGGCTCTTCGACTAGTCCCCACAGATGAAGGTTCGCTGGCGATGGTAAAGTGTTATATACTGACCGCAACAGGAACTGGATCCTCAATGGTTCATAGCGCCACAGGTCTGTCCATGTAAGTTTTCGCTCCGGCAGCTTCCATTTCGTCCATGCTCCTTGAGAGCCCATTTCCACTGCCCTTGCTTTCCTGGTCCCTTCTTCTTCTCTGCGGATTTCTCCCTGTACCAGAGATCTTTTCTCCTTATCATCTGATCCTTCCCACGTCTGAAAATGGGTTGTCCCCAACCCTTGCCGGCCTGAGCAGGTTGCTCCGACGATGTCCCGGTGCTTGAGAGCGCCCTCGGCCTGCTCCACAGACTGGCTTGCAGACCATTTCCTTCCTGTCCTAGTCTGGATTCCTGCATTTCTTATCTTCACGTCCTTTGAATCTCGCAGCGTCATCACTAGTCTGGCCTTTGTTACCTTGAACTCCTCCACCAACGATGACAGTGGGAGTTGCAGTGATGATGTCCGGCTGTAGAGCCCAATGCTGGAGAAACTGGGCGGGACTCCAAGCCACCTCCGCAGGTAGCTGCTGATGGATCTTTCCAGTCCTTCCACTGTTGTCAAAGGGACCTCATATAGCATCAGGGGCCACATGAGTCTCGGCAGCAGTCCATGTTGGAAGATCCATGCCTTGAACTTTCCTGGCAGGCCTGACTTGTCAATCTTCCTCATCCACTCAATTGCCTGCTTCTGCATGCTGCTGATGTTGCTGGTATCTTTCAGTGATGCATCAAACCACTTTCCTAGGCACTTGATTGGGTTGTCCGCAATTGATGGGATCTCTTCTCCTTGTACTTTCAGCTTGAACTGTTGTGTCAGTCGTCCCTTCCTCATTATCATGCACCTTGATTTTCTTGCCTTGAATTTCATCCTCGCCCATGAGACTACCTCCTCCAATGCAGACAGAACCCATCTTGCTTGGACATGTGTGGTGGTAGTCACAGTCAGGTCATCCATAAAACCTCGATTCGATGGTTGGTAGATTCCTGATTCTGTCCTGGGCCCCCTGGTTTCCCGTCCTGCTGCCTTGATGATAAGATTCATCCCCATGACAAATAGAATGACTGATATGGTACATCCTGTCACTATTCCTTTCTCCATGTTTTGCCAGGATGTTGTATCCTCCCCGACAGTAAAGCGCACCTGGATTCCACTGAAGTAGCTTCGTACTATTCCCTGTATATGCTCCGGGATAAAGTAATGTTGTAGGGCTACTTCAATCAGCTCATGTGGTATTGATCCGTATGCGTTTGCCAGGTCTAGCCACACTACTGTCAGATTCCCTCGGCTGGACTTGGCCTCTCTGATTAGTTGGCTGAGCACACTGGTATGCTCCACACAACCTGAAAAGCCTGGGATACCTCCTTTCTGTACTGATGTGTCAATGTATCCATTGGTCATCATGTATGATGTCATCCTTCTTGCCAATACTGCAAAGAAAATCTTGCCTTCAACACTCAGCAAGGAAATTGTCCTGAACTGCCCGATGTGTTTTGAGTCCTTCTCCTTTGGAACAAAACATCCCTCTGCCTTCTGCCAACATGGTGGTATCTTCCCCTTCTTCCACACTTTCCTCAGTAACTGCCATAGTCTCCTCAAAAGCCGTGGGCACTTCTTATACACTTTATAAGGAATTCCACTTGGGCCTGGAGCTGAACCAGTTCTTGCCTTCTTAACAACATCTTGGATCTCCTTCCAAGTTGGTTCCTTGGTGTCAAGCGGAAACTCTGGCGGCTCCTCTGCTTCTATCCGTGGACAGTTCCCAAGTGGAATGCCCCTATCTTCATCTCCGTGCGTTTCCCTCAGGTGTTGCTCAATATCTGCTGTTGAACTATCCAAACGGCCTGATCTTTCCCCTCCCAGCAGAGTCTTTGTAAAAGAATAAGGGTCCTTGATAAAGGACTCCCTCTTCCTTGCTCTATCCTTCCTTGCCTTCTTAACCTGCTCTGCTTTCCTGAGTCTTGCCAAGTTCTCCCTGATGTCGTCCCGCAGCTGATGTAATCCTATCCTCTCTATATCACTTGCCCTCCTGTACTGTCGTGTGACTGCTTTCAGTTCTCGCCTGAGTCGTTGGATGTTATCCTGTCTTCTATTCGGGATAATTACGTTCTTAGGATTTCTCTGCTTTCCTCCTAATCCAAATCGTTCCTTGCAGAATGTGTAGATGAAAGTTCCCATTGCCTCAACCTTCCTTTCTACGCTTCCCATTAGAGCCGACTCTAGGATGGTATGTAAGTCAGCATCTAAACTTCTCCAAGCTTCATTGTTGTTCATCTTTGGCCACTCTATCCTCAACCTTCGTGCTGGCTGTGTTGGATGTGCTTGAACACCCTGGTCGTGGTTTGTATCACTCAAGTCTGAATGGCTGACCTGTGACGAAACCGAAGCAGAGAGGTCCACAACACTATGGGGTGCCTCCTGGCTGGGGTCCTCCTGCGTCTCACCAGAAATTACTTCTGAGCGCTGCGTCTGTAACTCCACAAGTCTGCACTTCACCCTTGCTTGATGAATCCTCAATCCCCGGATGTTCTTACACACCTTTCCGCACTGGCACTTTACTTCTGCTGATGCTCCTGTCAGCGTTGTTTGTACCAAACGAGTTTGCGTCCGTGTCGTTTCCGTTATATCTGTCCGTATAAGCCTTTCATCCTCCCCCCTCTCGGAAGGCTTTGGGGTGTGTTTCTTCTTGTTGTGTTGTAGCTGGGTTAATGGTGTCCTCTCGCAAGGACTGTACCTTTTCTCATATTTTTTTCCATTTATGTTTCATTTAACCAAAATAAATTGCATATCACCTGTGTTTTTTTCTAAATATTTGACTGACTTACCTGCTACATAACTCTGCCCAGTCATTCCCACAGCCAAGGAGAGCATCATACCTAAACAAGAAACAAGGTTACATGAAGAAATATTTCTTAATATAATGGTTTCTTAAATATATATAAAGAGATATTGATGGTGGATCACAAGTAACTTATGATGACCTGAGTGGCTACAATCATAGGTCTACTTCATTTATAATATGTAATCCCATATAATATAATTTAAAACGTCGTTTCCAAGACACAAATTTCCGAAACAAGTCACATTATCTGGTTAAGGGAGGCGTGTATACTTCTGGTAGGAAGGTAAATCAGACAGAAAAAATTTCCTCCAAAACAATGTATTTCCATTATGTTCTTAATCTGAAATAGGCAGCATAAAAAGAAATTGACAAATTGACAGAAGACGAACATTGGATCATGATTACTGGAGTGCTGAGTGCTAGTACTTACGACAGAAGACGAACACTGGAATATGATTACTGGAGAGCTGAGAGCTAGTACTTACGACAGAAGACAAACACTAGACCATGATTACTGGAGAGCTGAGTGCTAGTACTTACGACAGAAGACGATCACTAGATCATGATTACTGGAGAGCTGAGTGCTAGTACTTACGACAGAAGACGAACACTGGAATATGATTACTGGAGAGCTGAGCGCTAGTACTTACGACAGAAGACAAACACTAGACCATGATTACTGGAGAGCTGAGTGCTAGGACAACAAACACTGGACCATGAGTACTGGAGAGCTGAGTGCTAGTACTTACGACAGCAGACAAATTACGACAGAAGACAAACACTAGACCATGATTACTGGAGAGCTGAGTGCTAGTACTTACGACAGATGACAAACACTGGACCATGAGTACTGGAGAGCTGAGTGCTAGTACTTACGACAGCAGACAAACACTAGACCATGATTACTGGAGAGCTGAGGGCTAGTACTTACGACAGAAGACGATCACTAGATCATGATTACTGGAGAGCTGAGTGCTAGTACATGTACTTACCACAGATGACAAACACTGGACCATGATTACTGGAGAGCTGAGTGCTAGTACTTACGACAGAAGACGATCACTGGATCATGATTACTGGAGAGCTGAGTGCTAGTACTTACGCAATCATTGGAGCATCATGTCCACTTGCTCCACCCCATCCATCAAAACTGACAGACTTGACAAAATCGTCCCTTTCTGCCACGCCATAGACATTCGGGAAGGTAGGCTCAGAAGTGCCGTCTAATATTCCACGCAACTGCAAATATTTTGTCCAGGCATCTCTGAAATAGCCATTGTTCCTACAAGGAAAAAAAATAACATACAGTTAGACAAATGACACAGAGTTCAGTCCTCCTGAAAAATATTTTGCACATGTGTAAACCAAAAGCAGTGATTTTTTGATTTTTTAAGGTGCTGTATATTTTGGTTTTTGGGGCTTTGTCCATCTTTATATAATCTTTTCTCTACTTATGATGGAGGTTTTGATAATTCAAATAATAATAATATTCTCAAATAAATTGTTGCATTATTCTTGTAACTTTGGTATATAGCATGCATTTTTGACTCTTGTATTCACTCATTAAGTAGAAATATTGGTGAAACAAAGGTTTGTGTTTCCTCCCTCATGTAAACGAGATTGCCTTGTATACAGAACCATACATTGTACGGATGTTTTCCTCCACACAGTGCCCAGACTTCATGAGGTACTCCTGACACACATGGAGTTCACTCAGCATGGCTGCTCCCCAACTTTTCACAGGTTTTCCTAGAATTCAGAAATATTTGTCATTCCTATAGATCAGATTCTTTCAGAAAATGAACCACTACGACTGACTCTATACAAAATCTATGCCTTTCAACCATCTGTTCATAGATTGAGGGCTGATAAATTAATGGTTTGGCTTTGTTTTAAGTCCTATGAACAGCTATGGTCATTTAAGGACATGCCAGATTTTGGTGGTGGAGGAAAGCCGGAGTTCCCCGAGAAAAAACCACCGACCTACAGCTGGTACCTAGCGACTTCCCCACATGGGTCTCGAACCCGTGACCCAGTGGTGGAGGGCTAGTGGTAGCAGAATATCGGATGCATTAACTACTTGGCGACTGCAGCCTCGTCTTAAGGTTCTTAAATATCTATCATAAAAATGTACTTTGTAATATGAAAAAAAATCATCCTCCTTTTCAACTTCTGCAATGATTGTAAAAACAGCACAATTGGTAAATATTTTAGAGCACAAAATGTGATACTTAGTATTTTTACTGTGAAAGATGAAGATGGTTATTTTAATAGGGACAGGTAAATACTTTATTTTGTAAAGGTATTGCATCAATTATACCTATATGCTATATATTATTACATTATTTTCATAGGACACCACAGTTAGTACCATGCCATAATAGCTGAAAGGGTTAAAGGCATAATGCAGGAGAGTTTACTGCACCTCAAATCCTGGCAATTATTTTGGCATTGTAACTCTGCAAAATACAACACTATTCTAACCATAAACGTCCTGAACATTTAAATCAAAATGTGTCAACTTTGGAGGATAAGTTTAATTGGTTGGCAAGCATGGTGTCGGTACCTTGTATAGCGTAGGAGACAAACAGGGCCGCAGCAAAGGAGCCAAGGAAACCGGTGGGATGATGGTGGGTCATACGGCCACTCTCCACACCGACAGCTACCAAATCATCAATGTCCTCAGGTCTGGAAAAATACCCAAGCTTTTTACAATTCTTTGGTTTTATAAATGTATTTGATGTTGATTTGTTTATTTTGACAAACATTTAAACTAGATATATGTGGAGTCTATTCCCCACGAATATGATCAATCAGGAAAAGACCATCAGTTTTTAGGGATATTCTGATAATCCTATCAGTATAAAAATACCTGATGTCTCACCATTGTAGAATGCACGAATCAGCAATGAAATGTGATAGAAAGTAGGATATAAAACTGAGAAAATGTTTTCATAAACAAGATCTTAACCATGTAGGACAGAAATTGAATTTATTTAAAACTGTAAGTTTATACATTATATTACCTTGGAAATCTTAGACCAATACACATGGCCCTCATAGCAGCTCCACAGCCTCCACCCCTGGAATAAAAAGGTTTCTTTTTTTAATAAATTAACTAAATCATAAAGACTACTGTATCTGATATAATAAGTGTCCCATCCCTTGTAAAAGCCTTCTGTCCTTTCTTCACTCTCAGCATGCATCACTTCAATGATAAACGGTACTTAAAAAGGTGTCTATTATTGCTATTGTTTGTGACATTAGGCAGGTACTGCAATCAGTCAAAAAATTTCTCAGACTCCTAAGCACAGAAGACGCTTATGAGGTCAATATTCAGATCATTTTCCTATGATGATGTTGGCTTTTTGTCTGATATCTCTTTCAATATTAAATTAGGCACGGTAGTCTAGTGGTAGGACGCTACGCTCGTGACCGAAGGGAGGCACGGAAGTCTAGTGGTAGGACACCAGGCTCGTGACCGAAGGGTTGCAGGTTCGAGTCACGGCACCGCTCTGTGTTGTATCTTTGAGCAAGATACTTCACTCCGCTTGTTCCAGTCTACTCAGCTGTAAATAAGTACAAGGTTGGGCAGTGCTAGAATTGTCAAATGCTAGCTGTGAGCACCGAAATAGCAGCTACGGCTGTATGCTCCCCAGGGAGTTGAGAAAGATATTGGCTGGTTGCAAAGGCCCTATAACCATGGATAATAATTTGTGAACCGCTTTGAGACGACCTTCGAACTAGGTTGTAATAAAGCGGTATATAAGAACCCTGAATTTTTAATTATTATAATTATTAGACCTGAAAATAGCCCAATCTCTTTTAAGCTCCTCCTACCCTTCCTCTGATCTGGCACTGCACCTCTTCACCACAGTTTACAAACTTTCTTGAAGAAAGTGTCTAGCAATTACTTTTTTTAGATTTCTAGGCATCCCGGTTTGATACCAAATTATATGTTGCGGTATCTGTTATGTAGCATTCAAGTGAGGTGGCACTATAAAAGATGCTGTTGGAAGCACTGTCCCACTACAAACAGAACACAATACATCTCCAGCACAAATGCAGGCATACACACATAGGGAGATATTAGTCAGGTGTCATGAACTAGTAGTTAGCACCTGATAAGGCAGCTCCTACGATTTCCTCAAAAATTGTATATCCTTATTGTATTAATTGTATTTCTATGTACTGTAAAGAGCTTTAGAGTGGCTTATGTTAGCTAGATAGGGTGATATATCAAATATTGTATATTATTATTATACTATCTTTTATAATGACAACAGATGTTTTCCTTTGTTTAAAGAGGAAATAAAAAAACATACTTAGGAGTCAAAGTTCCTCCATAGTTTTAGGAAAGTTTTGCAAATTTCTTATTTCATGAAATATTGCAAAATTGTCGAAATGAAAAACAGCCTACCTTGGATTAAAAGGTATCTGATAGGATGATGACAGCAATCTTGTTGAATTCACACATGTCATGCCTGCAAACATAAGTAGAGGAAATTAAAGATAACAATGTTAAACATATTTTAAGGATATATGTTACCTTGCATTTTACCATATAGCAGGTAATTTTAGGGGAAAGCATTTGGATTATTTAGCGGACGATTGTGAAGACCTTTAAAAATTTAAGAGCTGTAATTTAATTTAGTAGTGAAACAAGATGCCCAGAGGAACTGTATCGTTCACCTGAATATTTAAGCAATCATAGCAAAATATTCTCATTAAATATTATATTGCACTACAAATATTTCCCTCCCAAACTTTGTCATCTCCATCTGTTGAAACTACCAGCCAAATATTATTTTAAGATTCTATGCTTTTTGATTCTTCTTCAGAAGTTGCTTGACATATTTTTCCTTGTGACCTTGAAAGCAGGTCAATGTCATTTTCCTTCTCAAATTGGTAAGCTCTATTCCAAAAAGTTACCGACCAAATCTTACGAATCCATTCCTTTTAGTTCTTAAGAATAAATCCTTTAAAATGTTGTTACCTCTGTGACCTCTAAAGTAGGTTGAGATCATTGTCATTCACAAATTTTGGTGAGCTCTATCCCAGGAAGTCACCAGCCAAATATTATAATTTTATGCCTTTTCGATTATTCTTCAGAAGTCATTTGATGACATATTTGACCCCTGTGACCTTGAAAGAAAGTCAAGGTCATTTTCTTTCTCAAACTTTGTTGGGTTCTTCCCTAGGAAGCTACCAGCCTTAGGTTTTATGCCTGTTAGTCCTTCAGAAGTAGTCATTTTAAGCATTAGACGTATCTGACTCCCGTAACCTTGAAAGTAAGTCAAGGTCATTTTCATTCTCAAACTTTGTTGGGCTCTTCCCTAGGAAGCTACCAGCCAAATATTTAGCTTCTATACCTTTCAGTTCTTCAGGAGAAGTTGTTTGAAGTGTTTGACACATTTGACCCCTGTGACCTTGAAAATAAGTCAAGGTATTTTCGTTCTCAAACTTTGTTTGGCTAAATCCAAGAAAGCCATCAATCAAATATGAAGATTCTATAGCTTTCAGTTCTTCAGAAGAAGTCCCTTGAAGTTTTTGACACATTGACCCCTGTGACTTGAAAGTAGGTCAAGGTCATTTTCATTCTCAAACTTTGTTCTGTTCCATCCCAGGAAGCCATCAGCCAAATATGAAGATTCTATACCTTTTAGTTTTTCAGAAGATGTCGTTTTAAGTTTTTGACATATTTGACCCCTGTGACCTTGAAAGTCGGTCAAGGTCATTTTCGTTCTCAAACTCTGTCGGGCTCCTACCAACAAAGCTTTTAGCCAAATATCATGACTCTAGGCCTGTCTGTTCTTCAGAAGAAGTAGTTTAAAGGAAAAGTTGACAGACGACGGATACTGCACCATGACATAAGCTCACTTGCCCTTCGGGCAGGTGAGCTAAAAACTGTAAAAAATATTCATCTAAAATTTACTTTTGTTTTGAACTTGCTATTGAACTACCAGTTTCGACAGTGATCTGGATTAAGAAATTTCTGGTTTAGACAGTTTCAAAATATATCCTATCCTTAAACTGACCCTGATTGTCATATCTATCAATGAGATGGACGCCTGTACATGACCATATAAATATCATATAATCTTTATTTATTTTACAACGACTATAAACAAGTTATTACAACTTCTATTAATCACTCTTATTGGCCCGGATTCTAGAGCGCAGGAGTCTTAATGTGGCAGGAAACCAGAGTGCCTGGAGAAAACCCCCATTGTCAGGCAGGTGACCCTATACCTTTTCATATCCGATCGGGGAATCAAACCCTACCCACGTTGGTGAAAGCCCAGTGCGTTATCCACTGCGCCAACTGACCATCCGACCACCACAACACTACATACCTGGTGCACGCCCGTTCATGTCATTCATACAAGAGATATATTTCCGTGCCAGCAGCTCAAACAGACGTGTCTTGTCATTGTCAGGACTCTCACAGCCCCACTCAGCCAATGCTGAAAAATGAAGACAGTTAGCTTATTAAAGTAACAGATTTGTAGATGCCACAAAATTCACTGTCTGCATTAGCTAAGTGATCCAACAGCTAGTAAGTTAGTCTGCTTAATCATCGCTCCCCTCTCAAAGACAGAAGCACAGATCAACAAGCAGTACTCTGTAGCAGGGATTATATATGGTTTTATATTGTTTAACTTCCTATTAATAGGAGTGTGTTGTGTAAGCGTGCATGTGTGTATGTGTGCCGGAGGCAGGGCATGTTGGTGTATTTGCCTCCTTGTGATAGCGTAGATCTAATGCCAACTTCATAGTGCTATCTCACTGAAATACCATGCTGAAGGCACCCAGCACAGAATTCCGCCAGTTGCAGGGAGAGGGGATGGAGATATATATTGATAGCGGGGTATTGAAAGAAGTTAATCACATACAAAGGATTTGCTGATCATGAGTGTAAGAGAAATAAGAAACTTTTTACCTAGATATGTCAACAAACTTATTAATACAATGATATATAATTTACTTCTCTAAACCTGAGCAACAACTTAACAATTTCAACCTAATTTTTTGAGCTTAATGAATAAGGTCCTTCTCAGGAAGATAAATCCTCATATTCACCTCATAAGGTTAATAATTGTATATTTATCTCAATACAGCCTACTTACCCTCGGCTGTTGCCAGGTGCATAACGGTGTCATCGCTAACGTTCCATTTTGGTACTGGAAAAAAACACCTATTCAAATTACTACAGCAAAGGATTCAAAGTAACAGAAAAAGGCGATTTAAAAAAAACAACCTGATATGAAAAAGTTTTGAAAAGCTGTTCCTTAAAACATTTCTGATATCAGAACAGAAGCTGGTTTCTGACCAATACCCAGAATAATAGGGTTGTTTAATACTTTTAATTCATCATTAACCAATTTATGTGAATGAGATTCTATGTAAAAGAAATACCTTGATCTTAATTGCCAAAGATTTAAGCCAATGATATTGTGACAAAACTGCAGTGGTATCTTTTTAATTCAAACACTTTTGTTTCTGAAATAAATTTAGAAATAATGATTCTTTTCTCAGGAAAACGGGAATCGCCTCTGGGAAGGTATTTCAGTTAAGAAATATCAGTGCCTGGAAAACAAGATTATCAAAGTCGAGATTATAACTATGTTCCATCATGTGACATTGACAGTTGAAAGACTTACATGCCACAACAATCTTCTTTAGGCCACCGAGTTGTTCTAGTTCTTTATGAATGGTTTTGCCACTGTTACAAAACTCCCATCGTCCATGATAATAGCCTAGGGCATCTCCTACTCCACTGAGAACCATACTCGCCTGGAATCGTTGGCTCATAGGAACTTCTTGACTAGCATCCATTGTCACTGCAATGATAAGCATTAATATACAAACGGTCACGTATAATACTTGATCACCATAGAAACGTAACACGTTAATATGATACTGGGTATCACTTGTAAAGCTTGCACCATGTATCACTACTGAGAAAGAAACAATCCTATTTGTTCAGTTATTCGGTCAGTAAGTAATGATTTAAAACATGTATCACTCTATCCGGTCAGTAGTACTAACGCATTGTGATGTCACCCAAAACATTTGTCTGTCCATCTGTCCATCTGTCCCTAATCATGTATCACTTTATACCTCTATTACATCATGTATCACTGTATCAGTAGTACTAACCCAAGGTAATGTCACCCACAAGTGTGTCTGTTCATCTACCTATCTACCCCATTCATTTATCCTTCTAGTACATATGTAAATGTACCTGTATCTATTTATCCATCAAAAAGTTTAAGGTTTTATACCCTATTTACTAAAATATTTTCTTATGAAGTACATCACAACCCATGCTCAGCTGTTGACTCACTGACACAATGGATGGTGTTCGAATTCCCTAAGGGTGGGTCCTTGTCCATAATTCTTACTTATTTACAAACATGTTTATATTTCTTCACTAACCTAATGGCTGATGTTCCCTTTGGGACACTTCTTGGTCTACTCACTAGTTTTTCTTATTTTTGAACTTGTGAATAATTTTTCATTGACAGTTGCTAGAGAGATGTACCAATTAAGGACTATTCCTGGTCAACTATTTCTGATTAACTATAAAATAACTACACATACAACATGTACGAAAGTAAAGGTTGGTTTCAACAATCTCATTCCGAATTATTAACATATTCTCACAGACAGCCATAATGGTCACCATGGCTGGTATTTCTCATATGTCAGTTCTTGGTCCACTAGCGTTGTTTCTTATCAAAAACTTGTTGATATTTTCTAGAGAACTGTTGATTTATGGAACAATCTTCCGTCCAATATATGTTGTGAACTAAAGCACCGTTACACAATTCAAATATAAATTAGATGATTACTGGCAAAACCAAGTGCAGCAATACAGTTTTGAAGAAAAATAATTAAATCTAAATGTCGCAACATTTAAACGTGTTTTTATTTTATTATTTTTTATTTTATTATTTTTTATTTCAGAGCTGACAGTCAAAAGATTGTAAAATCTAAATTATGTCAGAATAAAATCTATGTTTCTATGTATCAATAAGATCTCACTTTTTATTTGTCTTAGTACAGCAATGTGTTTAGATGTCTCCTGTAGTATATGTAATGTCCAACCCCTTTATAATGCCAAACTGCCACTAGACCAGAGGCAGCAATTTAACAAGGTATTACTACGATACACACTGAACTAAGTAGATTATGTCTGTAATGTCTAGGATCCAGGAAAGAAATCACAATTGAATTGAACAATATTCACCACACCATATAAAAGTATATGTACTATAATTTCCTGTTTAATATTTCACATCAACATGAAAAAAAATAAGGTATACACAGTGTTATTATTTTTTTCTTCCTGGTTTTCATATGAATACAAGATGTATGCAAATAAAAAACAAAAACAATATTTAACAATTTTATGTGTGAGCCCTCTACTTAAGTGGGGTTTGAAAGGTCTTTGGGTAACCCTATCCATATTTCCTGTATCAACTGACTTTCAAAATTCTGTTTTCCCTTTCTTCAGGACTCGCACAACTAAATCAGCCGATCAGCAAGTGTTTCATACAATTGTAATCCCTACCTAAAATTTGTTTCGGATTAATACAGTACCTCAGAGTAATTTAAATAGTTAGTTGTTGACATATGTTCCATTGAATGAAATCTACAGATATTTAACTTTACAAAAAAGTAAAGCGTTCTTATATGCCACTAAACCCGCCAAAAAATGACTTTTGAAGCCTTTGTCAGGTATGTATCTGTGAATCTAGATCTAGACAGTTGTCACTAGTGTTGAACTTCAAATATTAATGCTATTAGCTCAAAAGCTTGGTAATAACATATAGTTAATGATTTAGTTGTGCGAGTCCTTCAGGTACACCCAGTATTTAGTTGATTAAATACATCCTCCGGTTCTACATTTAGTGTAATTTATCCAACACTCATATAAAGATTGGAAATGATTTGACAATGAATGACCTTGATAAACACAGTCTTCAGCTATGGATATCTAAATTCTACTTTGTTCTTTCTTCCTAAAAGGTATTAATATTTGCACGATACTAGAATTCATGAACGGGTAAAATTCTCAAAACTTGAAAAATTAAGGATCCCCAAACCACTGCCATTGAACAACATTAAAAAATGTTTTTATGAAGAAAGTAAAGATGACATTTTTTGAGTGTAAAAGTTTGATGTAGCCAGACTAAGATTCCAACCCTGAACCTCACATTGTTAAACGATCGCTCTAACCAACTTTAAGTAACCTGGTCAACAGAAGCGACCTGGCTCAATTGCACTGCAGTTATATCCAAAACGAAATTAATATACAGTCAAACTTCTATAAATAGAAATTCAAATATTCAAATTTCTCGATGTTTCAAACTTTCCGTAAAGTCCAGATTTGTTCCGTTATATAATACTACTGATATTCCATTTATGAATGGAACTTTTATTACAACTAATAATTTGAAGTAAAACAACTACATGTATCTGTACGAGAACATTGGGATATCCCTGGGGCATTTTAACGTCTAAACATGCAAACTACCGTGTAGAAATACATAAAACATATTTTTCTAATTACATTAAATCCCATATACATTAAATCCCATATTTATATGTTTCAAATTGTACATCTTGCGTTGTATTCTGCCACTTAACAATTACAGTCGGTCTTATGCAGTATATACAGGATCTCCTAGAAGTTCAACATTCTGAAGTCGAAATCTCTGTGTTTCAAATTTTCCCCAATGGTCCCGTAAAGTTGGAAACAATGAAGTTTGACTGTATACTAAATACCACAATGGATTTCTTGTATTTTACCAGCAGTGGGACAGGGATCTTTAAATCCCGTCACCTCACAAAACATGACACCGCTAAAATAAACAGTCAATGAAAGAACAACGACAATGTTTCACCATCAAAAAAGTCTTCTCTTTCTTGATCTGTTTGTGAATGGCATGGACAGCAAACTTCCGAAAACCTCAAAAGAAGATTACTTGGTGCAAGAGTCATATGTTTCCTTGGAAGGTCATACAATCCCTTGAGATGATTTGTGCAACACACACTGAAAGAGGAGAAGTAAGTTACATAAAGAGAACATTCCTTCATAACAACAACAAAACATCTGGAAGGACAGAAAGAGTTTCAAGAAAAGTATTACACCAGAAGTTTATGAAAAAGGTACTTTCTAAGTAACGTTCATAACATGATAGTAATACTTAAGGAAATAATGAATACAGTTAATCCAGAATTGAAATTGAAATTAAGTTGAACCAGGTATACAGGTTTTCAGTGATTGGACTATATATATATATATTGTGTAATAGCAAGAGGAAAAGTGATAAAGATAGTGCCGTCGCCGGGGATTGAACCCGCTACCCTTGGCTCTCTAGCCCGATGCTCTACCGCTGAGCTAAAGGGAAATTCCCTACAGCTTGTAAGCCTAAGGCAACTTAATTAATCCACATCTTTTACATATGTATCTACCTTAAATGATAAACTAGAGTTTAGGAAAACATTGATATAGGAATCACTTTTTTTCTCTCGTTTGTTAATACATGTACTCTATTCTCAACTCTGTTATGCTGTTAACTGTTTTAACAATAATATATTTCAAAACCAAAAATGAGAAACAGTTACATAATGTTACCCCATGTCACCTGTGAATGTCTGGGGCAGTTATGACCATGCAACCCTCCAACTAACATATATGCTTTGTCTAAGTATAATAATGGCAGTGACTAAAAGCTAAGTCTGTAATGTAAGGTCCAAGGTGCCATTGCAATTGGATCTACCTCATGCATGCAGTATACCAGGCTCTCCCATACCAAAATTTACTCACCAATAGCACATTTGAAGCTCACATGAGTTTCTCATGTGGAATTAGCACATGAGCATTATAACATGCAAATGAGATGAGGAATTCAAAATTTCACACGAGGAAAGATACTAAGAGTGTGTTAAGCTCACGCGAGGAAAAAAGCTCACATGAGGAAAAAAGATCATGGACACATTTGACCCCTGTGACCTTGAAAAAGTAAGTCAAGGTCGTTTTCATTCTCAAACTTTGTTCTGATCACCCCAATATTAAGTGATTTATTCTGTATTGTGCAGAATATCTATCTTTGTGTTATATTATATATATGTTAGGCATGCATTTATATATTTAAGATGATATACATGTTTAAGATAATTAGATGGTATCATACTTAATATCTATGTTAGGCATCTATTTATATTTATATACTTAAGATGATACATATGTTTAAGATAATTATATCGCTCGCCATAAATAGCCAACGTAACATATCTATTTTAGATGATTAATATGTATAAGATAATTAGATTATTTCCACGCGTGCCGTATAATATCTATAATATCTGTGTTAGACATGTATTTATATTTACATACTTAAGATGGTAAATTATACAAATAAACATTGATTTTTTTTAAATAGCCGACATTCTGATATATCGTTATATGTTTAGGGTAAGAACAATATTTTTGCTTCTCAACTGATGAATCCCGGGCAAAAATACTTATCATGTTATAATAGTCTGCAATAAAGCCATTTTGGTTTCTGTAGAGTAGATATGAAGGGCAGAAACTCAATTGGCATATCATTCAGCATATCTTTTACTTTCCAAAAATTGACTGACGATCTCTATCAAACTCAAAGTCATCAAAACAATTAATACTTTACAAAAACATCACCAGATCATTAAAAATAATAACAATGTAAAACAATATGCCAATTGAGTCTTGGGGTAAAGTGTTCCTAATTAGTTATATTTAATCAAAACTGGCAATAATTACGGACACTTTCACAAGATCAGACCAAACTGGATATTAGGTATTCAAAACAAGAGGCCCAGAGGGCCTGTATCGCTCACCTGGATACCTAAGCAATCATGACCCCAAGGCCAATCTTTGTAGCATATCTGTATTAGATTTTTCATGCCCAGCAATTTTATGTATGGTTATGGGGTGGGCATCTCAACTGTTTCCAACCTTTGACTCAGAAACTAGGTCCCTAGGGTTGTGGCCAGACCCCAGGATCAATTCTAATATCCTGACTGCATTTGTCTCTTTTTGCCCAGCATTTGTATATATAGTTTTGGGGTGGGGATCTCAACCGTTTCAAAGTTATGACCCAGGGGTTAAGTCTGCAAGGGTGGGG